ACCTCGTCAGACACTGCAACATCAGCAATGCCAACAAAAGCAACAAGAGGAACCCCAACAGCTAAAACGCCCACACCAACATCGGCAACGAACAACTAAAACTACATCGCAAGGATACTTGCAGCCTGAAGAGTGTCGTGATCAACATACACTAAAGAAAAGACCGATTCCGCATCTGAGCTGTCTTCGCAGAAAGAAAAGCCAAGGAACTTTTCTGCACCAGCGTTCAAGATTGCGCCTTCGGTCTGAACATCTGCGTCATCACCACAGAAAACTCCCAAAAAGCCACAAAACAACCGCTTGTGCTCTGCAGGAACACAAGCAGCGCCTAATCAGCCACGATCAACGGGCGCGCAAATTGCATGCACGACGTTTGTATGACCTACGACAAAAAATGCGACGCCTACGAAACATTCAATCCTGCAAAGCGTTCCAACCTCGTTCATTCTTTGCAAGAATACCGGCTGTATTTCCATCTGTTTCCATGTCCAAAGCGTTTTTGTGTTATCCAGGACGCAACCACCAACCTCGCCCACCAGAACTGCTGCGTTAACCGGACTGCTGCACTTTCCCCTGAAGTCTTTGAAAGTTTATGGAACTCCCCTGGAGCATAGAACGAATTGTGAATTTTTGACATTTGTAACTTTTTAACCTCTACTTGTTAACTTTTTCTTGTTCGTAATCCATGCCTTCCTTCGGGGGGAGGGGGAATCGTGTGACGTATGAAGTGATGGTTTGTAGAAGCAGAGAAGGAAGAAGTGAGATGGAATAAACATGACGTATGAGCCAGGCCACGTCGCCAATACATCGTAGCATCATATATATATATATATATATATATATATATATATATATATATATATATATATATATATATATACCCTACTGTGTTTTAGTGCAGAGATCCTCTGTGATAAACGCCATTTCGGGGTTTAGTTGTAAGAATTCATTGTACACGCAAAGCACTTGAGCTACTCTGCCTCTCGATGAACCTATAACCTGCTTTGAGGTTGGGCACTATTGCATATGGCCGCTGATATGCAGTAGTTGGCCGATACTGGCTAAGACGTAAGGAGAAAAACTTTGGTTTATGTACATTATAGAATCGAAGTAAAATAAGATGAATTGGCAGTTGAGACACTTCACTTAGGTTGGCAGCAACTCGTACGCTACAGATCTCAGCCAGCTGAATACAACCTCTCCTTCTATGGCTGCTCAACCTAAATAGCCTCCAATCACGTCAATTCCAGTGACCCATGAGCTGGGGCGAGTTATGTCATGTTTTGAATCGGTTGTCTCAAACAGATGCTTCGATTTCGACCAATGGAAGACCTAGGACAGTGTGGTCGGGGGAATGTACTCATTGCGGCGTTGGTCTACTGTTGTGCAAGCGTGCCCCTGGAGGTGGCAATGAAAGTTTGCATCATCTTACGCAGTGACGAGGTCATCGCCCCAAGGTTGCTGAACGTGGAACATGATTATCTTGGCGCCACCGTGAAGGCATCGCTTAGAGCACGACTCACAGTGCCGGGCCTCTGGGGATATATTGCCCTTACGCGCTTGGAAACCCAACACTGAAATAGTTTGCAGGCCATATCTAACAGTACTCTATTCATAGTTCATGCACGATAAGGCGTGTTTTTTTCAAAATACATGCAGCGTTTCTGAGCAGGCTTTTTTGTAACTTTTTGCCACCGCACAATGTAGTCCTAATGAATGGATGCAAGACATATGCACACAGAAGTCCGGTTTGTGGATTGGTAGTACAAAGGAGCAATATGTCAGTACAATATATTAGTAGGGCTCTGCATAAACTGCATTCGTGTCTGCACGATGCAGCGGTTAATGCCTGTGAACCTGCGGACGGCTTTAATCCACTGCTTCATTTTCTAAATGGGCTAAATACGCTAAAAATTTCTAAATAGAAAAGTGCAGGCTTGAAATTTACTACTGAAATTCATTGCTTAAACCTTTGCAGTATTTCAGAGGGCTTCATGCATGCTGAGCGTTTCGCTGCGTCGTGTTATATTGACAGTAAATATTGGTCGGCACATTCTTAGACCAACATGAATGCGATGGACATCTCAGATGTAGCGTCCGCGTTGAAGAAAAAATATACGTTGCTGGAGTGTCTGTACGAGTGACACGGCACGTCGAAAAAGTCAATATATCCAGAGATTACGTCAGCCCATTTGTAAGAGCCTCCACTTGAAATCGAAAGCCAGAAGAAAGGTGTGTTTGGAGATAAAGAGAAGGTATTGCGAGTCGAAACGCCAATAGGTAGCATGAACATTGAACAGTCTAGTCGTTTAATACATGGAAAACGTCATACCTGCACATGAACCCCAACTTGATTTCTCCACCTATTCCCCATCTCTGATCAGCAGCAGCTCCCCTACGGCCACCAGGGGGGCACAAATTCTTAGCTGCAAACAGCTGCAAACAAAATAGCTGGTCCCTGCAGTTGTATCTGTTTTAGGGGCGAAGCTCCTTAAAGTGGCACCCGTTCAGCTTTCGTGGTCGTAGTCGGAGTGCGTAACAATCTTACGTTTTGACCTGCAAGGTGGAGCCGGTGGGAGATTTCTCCTGTGCGTTGTTGAAGCATAAGAAATCGTAGCGTGCGGGTTAACTAAAGGCCTAATTCTCCTGTCTCTCATTCTCCGTTAGCAGCCATTTGCATGTACATTGAGCACTATCTGAAAAGAAAGGGTTGCTACGTTATACTCGCTGGGCGTACTACCTTAGTTAGAGAAAGATTTAGCGAGCGTTGAGCCGCAGTGCCATGAATACAGTGAACTAGTATATACCATGAACTCGAGGTGGTTAAAGGTGAGAAGTAGATGTGAAGCGCAAGCCGTAAGAAATTGAAAGCCGGATTCTCCTGCTTCTCATCCCCCATTAGCAGTCATTGGCGTGTACATTGAGCACTATTTGACAAGAAATGGTTGCTACGTAATACTCACTGGGCGTAACCTCCTTGGTTTTAAAAAGGTTTAGCAAGCGTTGAGCCACAGTGCCATGAATACAGTGAACTAGTATATACCATGACCTCGAGGTGGCTAAAGGTGGGAAGTAGACCCAAAACGCAAGCCGTAACAAAGTGTGCGTGTGCCACCTCTCGTTTACTCCTTGGATTGTCGGCTGGATGATGGTGCTTCTGTATTGGGAATATACGAAGAAAAGATGCGAGATGGTGGGGCTTGGAGTGTTGAATAGATGAATGAATGGACACACAGACACACGCATGGACGGACGCACGGATGGCTGCACGGACGGATGGAAGCAGGGACGGACGCAGGGATGAACGAAGAGAGGGATGCATGGACGAACGCAGGGACGGACGCACAGATGGACGTGCGGACACGCGAACAGACGCACACAAGAACGGGCGGGTGGACGCATGGACGGTCAAACAGATGGACGCATGGACGGACGGAAGCAAGTATGAATGGACGTACAGATGCTTCCCCCACTCTCCATCATTCATTCCGTGAATATGCTGCCATTTTTTGCCTCCACTGAAACAGCAGGCCAGCATCAAAGCGTGTAGAACATGGTTGTCGACACCCTCCAGCGTGACGGAGTATGAGCCATGCGCCCTTCAAATAAACTGAGCAGAGGCGGCCCAGCACAGTAGTGCATGCACGATCTTCTAAAAACCTAGTGCGTCATGCTCAAATAACACGTGGTGTCTTAGTGCCGCTAATTTTCCTGTGACCCTGTCAGCAGTAGCAACTGATGTCGCTGCTCACTGATTACCTATCATACATTCTTCAGTCGAATACCGGCAAAATGCACCGTTTGCTTCTATAGACAGTAGAATGTCGTTAGTGTCTCTATGATTTCACCTATCATACTTAACAAACCATTCACATTGAGCCAATCAAAAAAGCAGAGGCCCCAGGTGCTCTGTCTGAAGAATCACATTGGCCCCTTTTCCGGGACAAGAGCCCTGTTCCACGAGCTTGGCAGCTCAACCTTATCACCCACCTCCACATAGTTCAAAAGAGCAGATGCCTGCATCCTGACACTTGCTGCACTGCTTTAGTTATTTTCAGAAACCGTGTTTCCCAGTGTATGTGTGCCATAGACAATGGACAAACTCCTCCTGTTACAACTGGCTAACTAAAAGAGTTTCCATTCGCTTGAGAAAGTGCTGGGCAAGTACGGCATCAATGTCGTTTTCAGAGCCAGAAAAAAGCTGGCTAGGATCAGTACCCCCGTTGGGAGAAGGGGCGACGGAAATGCAGAGGTGTGAATAATAAGTATGAGAGTAGGAAGAGGATATGCGATGAAATGGTTTTACTGTGTTGCAGGTTAGACATCGAGCCGGCTGATTGTTGTCTCAGCAATCGTATGATCGGTGGCAGAGACTCTACGGAGGGAAAGGTGTCGTCAAATTTCTGATTGCATTGCCGGACTTGTGTCTGGACTACCATAGTAACGTCTGCTACAAGATTTAACTAAATATGTATGTTCCAGTGCAAGATGGCTGATGCCCTATACATTGTTTCAGCGGCCCATAAGTGTGGTGAAGACGTAAATATTCTTCCACAAAGTGCGTAAAACAAAAGGTCACAGAACGTTAACTTAGGCAGTTTGTGTTTGTCATTCCATTTCCTGATAATTATTACTATTATTAAATGTGTCTTAGTCTATTGAAATTGGCGAACCTTAAAAACACCCCATTTATACGCAATTCACAATAGTCAATGAAGGGTGCAATTGTATGCTTCTGCTTCGCAATAGTACATTCGTTAAACATACGCCTTCTCCTACATGGCACTTAAACGGTGTTCTTTTTTCGAACCAGTTTATAATAAAGGCGTGGCTCTTAGGTACACCTCCTCCTCGCTAGAAATCCCTGCGCTCAATTACCACCAAAACTAAAGGCTTTATTATTTCTTTATATGCATCTGTCTCAGTTTTTGATAAACAAAAAATAATCATTTTCAGTTCACAGCCAATAACACCAATACCAAAACAGACGCCAAAATTACCGTGAACCGATCTCTTCAGTGCTTTCCTGTTAATTGTAATTATAGCCCTTGGTGAGTCCTTACACCCCTGAAAAAGAAGACTGTGTGTCGGCGTATGATAATTGTAGTTTTTGGATTCAGCGGTCAAAGTACACTTGGCTGAAATCACCTCGCTTTTAAAAAGTGCATGATACATAGTGCTCAGATTTAGATCGCACAAAGTAATAGTCACGTTTACCCTATGTATATTGCTTTAAGGACAGAGGGCAATCAGCAAGCACTTGTTTGGATCAATGAAGACGTTCGCGTTTCCATTGGCGGTTTGATTGATTGATATCTGGAGTTTTGCGTCCCAAAACCACCATATGATTATAAGAGACGCCGTAGTGGAGGGCTACGAAAATTTGGACCACCTGGGGTTCTTTGACGTGCACCCAAATCAGAGCACACAGGCCTACGGCATTTTCGCCTCCATCAAAAATGCACCCGCCGCAGCCGGAATCCAATCCCATGATCTGTGGGTCAGCAGCCGAGTATTTTAGCAGTTTTATCGGCAGTAGTTGCTTCAATGTACCAATTATCTTTAGTTACGAATACAGTATCGAAATGCCTATGTGGATAGGTATTAACGTATCGCGTGTTGCCTTGACATTGAACATGTCATAAAAACTTACTTGCCTTAATTTTTCTATTAGTTGTGCAATTACCCAAAGATCCACGCTTTACTGAGTGAGCAAGTGCTTACGTTACACCCTATATCTTCCATCCTAATGCAACCATGTCGTGTTATAAGGTATATTTTTCCAATGTATATGACATTCCAATGTGCGCATGCATTTCAAAAAGAACATTCTCTTTGAAGGCGTACTCTGGAGCCGTTTTATTCGCTGAATATTGCTGACAGCAAGGTGACAGAAGCAGTATCAATGCCACTCCGGAACAGCGGCGTGGAATAAACCACAACATGCAGAGAACTATATGCTGATTAATCTCTAAAAGAACTCTCAAAGGAGAGTCAAAGCAGAATTTCTTGCCTTGGGGCGTACAATTGTAACTACAGCGACTATTCTTTATAGCCGTCATTGAAAAAAAAACTGAACTGCACCTGCGATAGACTTGGCATTGCGATGGCTGAATAAATAGTGAAGCTGGTGGCATCGGTTCCAGCTCCATCAATAATATTTCTAAACGAATGCGAGGCGATGTCAGCCGAATATTCTAGAGAAAAAAACGAAGGTCCTCAGATTTTCAGAATGTTTATTAGCCGGTGCTTCTCTACACGTCTGTTCCTGCGTATCTATTGATAGGTTTCGTACACAAAACGTTATGACATTAAAACACACGCACATACCTGTAAGTAATGTGGCTGTACAGAAGAAAAGTAAGGGCACAGCAGCTGCGTGCATTGCCGAGCTCTGCGATGGCGAGTGCTTTGGCCAAGTAAGTAATGTAGCAACTGGAATGTAAAAAAACTGGCACACATGCGGCGCTATTTATTCTTATCACTCCAGAGAGCGTGCAAGTGTACCGAGACCGCAGACCCTAAACGCGTGTGGCGAATGAAGAGTGCGTCATCCGTAGAAAAAGAAAAAAATGTTTAAACTGAAGGGCCGAAGTTTGACGGTTGAGTCACAGGAAGCAGAATGTGCGGGAATGATTTCTTTCACAACCCGAACGCAATAGGCACACGTGCTCCGCTTTACCATCTCGGCGCTGTCTATCCTTCCTAGTGTTTTTTTTTTTGCTTTCTTTCCGCATATGAAAACTTACAGTCGCAAAGAGCCAAAGCACCATCAAGAGCAGAATAAATAAATGTACGTTAGGAGACAATGAGATGTCACAATGGAGATTTATCACTGACATTATTTTCATGTTTTGGCTACCCTGGTGCCTTGCTCTACCTGAAGCTGCAGGTCAGGTTCAGTTAGCATACTTAGCGTCATCGAAAGGAGCCGCAATCGCTGGGTGTGGTTTAAAATGTTATAATAAATAATCAACATTTTAGAAAATAGGTTAGTCATCATTTATTAGACAGTAAAATTGTGCTATACAGCGAGGTACGCTTTAAGCCAGATTTATCATTTCTAAGAATATTAACACAAAGTATTACGCGGAAACAGCAGCAGCAAAAAGAAAGAGAAGAATGCAGTGTAATGTGTTCATATTTATTTGTGGTACTCTTTATGGTTCATTGCAAGATGGTAACAAACTTGCGCTAGAATTTTTCGCCAAGGTAAATAAATAACTTAAAATGAAGGTACCTGAAATTTGAACATAAAACTTGCGTAAAGTTTCCAGGTACATTTATTTTGACTAACCTGATAGCTTCTGAAAAAAGATCACTGATCTCCACGCTGTCTCCAAACTCAGCCTATAGGCTCGTCCTTCTGTGCCTTTATCAGATCTTTCTTGAGCAGGCAATGCGCCATCCTGAAGGTCGGAGAATGGAAAAAAAAATGGAGCTTGGTGGAAGGGGCACCCCACAGGTATCAGTTATCTCGCCACTCCTCTTCAATATTGC